GGCCGAAGCTTGGAAAAGAAAAAAAAAAAAAAAAACAACAAAAAAACCCCGAAAAGATACAAACCTCCAACATCCAAGTGGCAACTATTTTCCTCATATATGGCAAGATTTCTTTCTGCACGCACTTGAAGTAGGAGACGGAGGGCGAGCAGGTCTCCTCCGCCTTCAGCATGGTCTGCAGCACCCTGTCATTGAGGAGGTTGGCATCTAGGTAGGCTCGTCGGATGGTCTCCACCTCGCAGCACAGCAGCTGATGTTCCATGTCTGCCTCCGTCGTCCTCGAGTCCGGTTTCTGCAGCAGAGTCAGTCGCTCGCTCGCTCTCTCTCTCTTCCCCTTCCAGGAGTCCCTTGGATGCTGCTTCTGCTACTGCCGCTACAGCCCTCTGGAGGCTGCAAAACTTTCTAACTTCCAACAAAACTCTCCTGTATAGTCCCTGTGACGTTACTGTTGTTAAGCAGAGATCAAAGCACGAGAGAGAATGAGAAAGAGAGAGAGAGAGAGCCAAAAGCAAGGGGCAGAGCCCTAAAGCCATCCCATAGGCTTCAAGTCCTTCCCCTTTGCTTAGCTTATAGAGAGCAGGGGTTTAATGCAAATGCAAATGAGACAAGGGCTTGCTTTCTTCAAGGGCAAGGGAGAGGTGGGGGAAACCCAAATTGTCTCTTCAGTGTATCATGCATAATTTTAAAAATGGAGCGAGTTCTGCAGTGGGAGCCAAATGATGAATGGGGCTAGGCCACACACAGACACGCAGGGATATAAATACAAGGAAGACTGGCTTGGTATTATTTTACTGGGGGCGCCGGGGAGGGGGAGAGCAGGGCAGCACCAGTGCATCTCTTGTTTGTTATCAATTATTTATTATTATTATTATTATTGCTGTCACCCACGGGTACCTGCGACAGCCGTCGTTGGAAAAGGCGCGCTCCCAACCTGAACTCCCGCGCTTTGGAGTTGATCCCAAGGGAAAAAGCTTCCTCCCGTTTCCTCAAACCTATTTTTTTTCCCAGCCTGTGTGGTTCTGCCCACGCCAGAAATTTTAAAGGAATTGGGGTCTCTCCCCCCTCCTGCCTCCAAGATGGTGCTTTTTCTTCCTTCTTTTTTTTTTTTTTTAATTTTATTTATTTATTTTTATGCCATTCCTTTCACTTTAAGGGTTTTACCCTCCAAAAGGGGCACGGAGGTGGCAGGGGACAGGGCGACAGCTAATCCCCAGCCGCGGATGGCGGCCGCGCAGGCCGGGATAGGCCACGCTCCCCACCCCCACCGCTCCCAGCCACCCAGAAGAAAAATATATCCCAGCAGAGCAGCAAAATGGTGGCCAGAGCTTCCTCCAGCACCTACGGGGAGATGAAGCGAGGCCTGGGGGGGGAGAGGGGAGGCCGGGGGCGGGGGGGGGGGGGGGGAGGCCCGTGGGGGGGGCGGGGGAGGTAGCGCCAGCCGCCCCGAGCCTGTCGGGGGGGGCCTCATCCGACACGCGGCGCCGCCAGGACGGCCTGTCCACGCGTGACGTGCCAACGGCGGGGCCCCACCGTAAAGAGCTCCCATTCCCCGGCTCAGCTGCCCCTACCTGAAAACACTTGGCTTTGGTTTATTTCTAATTTTTGTTTAATAAAAAAAAAAGTCTATTTTAAAAACTCTTCGCTTTTTGAGGGGCTGATGGGGGAGCTCGGGGCCGGCTGGAAAACACTAGAGGTGAAGCCAGTGCCCCACGGTGTGGGAGAAACGGGCTCGTCCTGCACCACAGTGGGGTGGGGAGAATTGGGAAGGACATCAACTGGGGGTCACGCTGCCATCTGCCCACCCACCCCTCAAAACCTGGGCACCGGGATTGACCTCAGCCTCAACGCTTAAGCATCATCGGGGTGTAGGGAGACCTCGTGGTGGGAAGGCACTGGTGGCATCACCAACAGGGCCTCAGGGCAGTGGAAGGCTCTCATGGCCGAGGAGGACATGGTGAGGAGGACATGCCGTGGAGGACATGCCGTAGAGGACATGCCACGAAGTCATACAGCATCTCTCCTGCATGATCCGCGGGGAAAGCGGTGCCAAAGATCACAGGGCACGTTGTTGCACAGCAGCGCGTTTACGTAATCTCTTTGCACCAAACACCGGCCCATCTTCTCCCAGTTTACGGCTTCGCGTGACCGTTTCTCTCCATTTGGGCTTCGTCCATCAGGAGGACATCGGACACCCGGGAATCTCGGCTCCCCTTGAGCGTCGCAGCCCCCAGGGGGAATCTGGAGGGTTTGTTGGTGAGGAAGGTGCCCCCTGCCCACGTCCCTGTCGTCGTGCTTCACACACAGGACACACACTCCTCTTGTCACAACTTCACTTGACCGGTTTTAATTTTTAATGAAAAAACACGCCGTGACGCCACGCTCCCAGACCGGGATCCAGCAACGTGCCACGGGGGGGGGTCCCATTTAATGGACGTCCCCACACCCCCAGCATCTTTCTGGGGAGCAGCCGCTTTGGGGGTGCCGGGAGAGCTCTTATTGGGGGGGGTCCAACCCTATTCTGGACCGTGCCAGCTTCTTTGCCCCCAAATATTTATCACTAGCCACATCCCCCGGCCCGGGGAGCAGGGATGCAGCCCCCGCACCTCCGGCATCCCTCGCCTCCCCAGCGCCTCCCGGTTGGGATGGGGTCGGTTTTGGGGGGGCGGTGTGTGTGTTGTGTGTGTTGTGTGTGTTGTGTGTGTGTGTCCCCTCGCTTTCAGCACGAGGCCGGTGTTTCATTCATAAAAGCTGTCCCCGGCGGGGCGGGGGGCTCCCGGGCGGTGCCGGTGGCGGGGAAGGGAGCGGGGCCGGCCCGGGGGAGCCCCCGGCGGGCGG